CCTGATCAACTCCTTACTTTTTTACTTGCTTGAATAGACCTTTTTCCCTGTGATTGAGAATCTGACTTGTTAAGAAGAACTATAACTGGGGAAGAGGCTTACATCCAGCAAGGCAGAATTAAGGCAGGGTCAGGCAGGCCTCTCTGAGGGGAGTGAGTGGTGGGATGTAGGGCTCCTTGCTCCCCTGGAAGCTGTGAGTCATGCGACCAGCTTGCTGATCAGGATTCACTTTGTTTCCCAAGTGGGATCTGTAAGTGTGTTCTGACGTGTTCTTCTAGCTCCCTCAGTCCTCAGGGAGAGGAAACCAGGATGAGATGCCAGGACGCCAGGCTCCATCTGCTGTAGGCTCAGTTCCTTAGATAACTCCAGGTCCGCACTCTCCACACGCTGCCTGCTTGCTTTATTAAACTAATGCATCAACATACGGACTCATTAACGTTTAAAGTGCCAGGCAGATTACCTCATCTTTGAGTCAGATTGAAACGCAAGTCCAGAGGAGTTAAGAATAATAACTCATATGAATGTAGTCTTCCACTGTTTGCAAATTTTCACTATATAAAACCGCCTTTGGTCCTCACAGCAGCCCTGGTCACAGGCTTCGTTTAGCGTGTGGCAGAGCAGAGACTGAAACCTCTGTTTCTGGCAGCGTGGCCCCCTCCACCAGATCTTGGGACGCTGCAGACTGTCTGGCCTGAACACTGCTAGCCCTCTTCCATTGCACAAAGTTGAGAGGAAACATTTGGGAACTTTTTTTTTTAAAGATTTATTTATTTATTTATTTATTTATTTATTTATTTATTTATTTATTTATTTATTTATTTATTTATTTATACAAGCACTGGGTACAGTCAGAAGCGCGGGAGGGTGAGAGAATTCACCAGAGCCAGAGCAGGGAGCAGAGCAGGCAGAAGGACAAAAGTACACTGCTGAGGAGAGCAGCGGGCGGCAGGAGAGGTCTGTGCGCCATGTGGGACCCTCCTCCAGTGGCCGGGGAGCAGCCAGGGATCGAACAGGCACTGCAGAAACTGCTGGCAGCTTCGCAACCCAGCGTTCAACCGCAGCACCACCGGGGAGGCCCACATTTGGGAACTTTTATGGCAAGTAGACATTGCCACAACATCCAAGCAAGTGATCTTTGTTTATAGATGTATCCTTCTGAGGCCAATTTGAAGTGGAAAAAAATTATTTAATCATAGATTGGCAACCACTGCTCTGTAGCAGTTTTGTTCCTAGGCTGGATGGGTGACTGGGTAATTGAGGGTATCTAGAAGCTGCAGAGAGCTCTTGAGCAATCCCCACTCATAGAAAACATCTGTGCTTTCAGAATCCACTAGGGTTGATTTATTTCCAAAGAAATACAGAAAAGTGATAACCCACGTTGTTGGTAACAAATGTGAATTGGGGGTCATGAGTCTGTCCAAATACAAGGACACAAGGCTGTTGCTCGTTTCTCCACCATGAGCTCTCTCTACCCTGGAGTTGGGTTAATGTATGAACAGTTTGCTGGATAATCTACATGATGTCAAATTGCAGTCATTTCAAGGGGGCAAGCTGAGGTGCATTTGTGTGGTAGGGGTGTGTGTGTGCACATGCATAAAGTCATATTTTGAATAAAAATATGAAAAAAGGTAACAGATATTTTAACAAATGGGAAGACAAATGTGCTGTTGCTGCATATACGAGCTAGTCTTCCAGGAGAGTTTTATACTGGAGTTTCTAGAATGACTAACTTATCACCACTTAATGGATCAAGGTCCTTTTCAGAACACATTATCCAACATCTGGTCTACCCTCTACCACTTGAATAAATATTCATGGGACTCAGGCACAAAAGGAGCAATTTCCACATCATTTTTGCTACTATTCTTTTTGTCAGTTCAGTTTTCTGAAAATTTGCAGGAGTTACTTTCCCCTCTCTAATTGAATCTTATTTTGCACATAGGAGGAATATTCCATTTACAAAGAAATTTTATGCTGAATCTTATAAAAACATACTAGTCCTCATTTTTATTGAAAAGTATATTTTTTTCTCAAAAAATAATTTATGCACCTGAGTAAAAAGATACAGATACAATTAGTTTTTATAATGAGAAGCAAGTCATCTGACCTATACTACTCTTCTTGAATACATAGAAAACATTAAAATACACTCCACAACATGGACTTCAGGGGTGTCTTTGGGGACTTGACTCCAATGACAAGTGGAACAAAACCAAAAATAAATAAATGGGACTATAGCAAACTCAAAGGCTTCTGCACAACTAAGAAAATATCATTAAAAGGAAAAGACACCCTACTTAATAGCAAAAAAAAAAAAAAAAAAAGTCTCTGAGGTTTTCCCTTCTTGCTATTTTGCTTTGGGGTCTTCTACAAGTTGTTGGCATGAATTAAAACATGCCTGTCTCTTGGTTCTTTGTTAAGAACCAAGACATTATCCAACTTCCTGGTGGGATAGAGTCAGTTCATCTATAATAATCTCCATCTGTCCTTTGCCTCCTTCCGTTCTTACTGGTGTCAGTCCCGTATGGTTATCTTAACTTACCAAATGTATTTCTTTTCTTGCTCCTTCAACCTCAAATAGAATCTTCTATAAGCAAATTCTCTTAGGGTCTTTCTATTTCCTCCAACTTTCTTTTTCTGGAACTGGTATTTTATAGATGTCCCTCAGTGTGAGTTTGTCTGATGTTTTGTCATGATTTGATGGAGGTTGTGCATTTAATTAAAAAGTATCACATAGGTGATTGAACTCTCCCTGCATGCGGTATCAGGGGTACATGATACTATTATGTCCTACTATCAATTAGCCTTAATCATCTGTTTAAGGTGGTGCCTGCGGTTTCTACAACTTAAATTATTCTTTTTTTTCCTTTTTTAATAATAAATACATGAGGAGAGAGCCTTTGAACGTACGTAGATATTCTATTTCCCCTTATTACTTTCGCCCCACTAATTTTAGCATTAATTGGCAGATTTTGCCCATAACAATTATCATACTGGTGTTCTCATAGTCATTTTCTTTTTCCTTCATTTCTTCTACATTTGTTAATTGGATTTTTGTATAGCTATGTATTTTTAACTATGTATTTCAAACAGAATGGAATCATAGATACTTAGACTTGAAGTTATAATTTAATACTGTTATTTTATTGCTAAATATTTTCAGCTTTGAATGTTGGAAATTCTTTCAGGTTGGTTTCTGTTATATTGCCATACTGCCAACTTTTTTTTTTTTTTTTTTTTTGAGTACTTCAAGATTTTCTGGTTACATAATATTCCCTTGGCTTTTTTTTTTTTTTTTGGTATTTTTTTGTGCTTCAGCTTTGAAATCAATCACTTCTCCATGGAGCACTAGTTTCTTAGAAAATGGTATATAGAAACCATGATGTGGGGGCCTCCCCGGTGGCGCAGCTGTTGAGCGCTGGGTTGCGAGGCTGCCCGCAGCCTCTGCGGCGCTGGTTCGATCCCCGGCTGCTCCCCGGCCACCTGAGGAGGGTCCCACATGGCGCGCGGACCTCTCCTGCCGCCCGCTGCTCCCCTCAGCAGTGTACCTTGGTCCTTCTGCCTGCTCTGCTCCCCGCTCTGGCTCTGGTGAATTCTCTCACCCTCCCGCGCTTCTGACTGTACCCAGTGCTTGTATAAATAAATAGATAAATCTTTAAAAAAAAAAAAAAAAAAAAAAAGAAACCATGATGTGAACATTCATTCATTGATATTTGACTGTTACTACTTCTAGGTAGTATAGAGACCCCTAATCTGCCTTTCTGTCAGTCTACTTACCTACCTACCTACCCAAAAAAATAATCATTATTCATAACGGTACCTCTGGACCAATCCATTTTTTCAAGGTTAATTCTAGCATTCCCTTTGCTTATTTATGACTTCTTTCTCTGACAATGAGAAATCTGTTGTTCATATCAAAAATATATTTACTTACTCAACACTGGTATACATTTAAAGTACTTTCAGAATTTCTAACTCATACTCCTCTGGGGAACAAATTCATCAACTAGATTATAATGCTTTGTATTTACAATATTCACTCAAAATAACAAAGTTACTTATTAGCCCCTCTCTTCACTACCACTGTTCTTGAGTTTGTGTAGTTTTATAAGAGTTGACTGTAATTCTTAATCTTTCTTCTTATGAGTGCAATGTGTTTTCTTTCCCCTTTCACATTATTTCTTCAGAAGTTGATTATATGCCTCCTAGATGTGCTTTTGGGTATTTATCTTGATTGGTGTTCTTAATCATTGGATGTTGGTATGGTTTGTTATTATATCTGATAAACTCTGTCATTATTTTTTCACTATTGTTCTAACTTCCAGATTCTAATAAGCACATGAGATGACTTGATATCTTCCTGTGACTCTTAGCTCTGCTTTGTTTTATCCATTTTATCCTCTTTGATTAATTGCATAACCTTCATTTTCATATTTCTTTGCATAATTAATTTAATTTGCATAATCTTCAAGCTAGCACTATCATTGAGATTGATTCGTTAGTAATGTGAAGTCTAGTTATGAAGGCATTCCATATCTGTTACTATATTTTTATTTACAGTATTTCTATTTGATTTAAATAGTTCAGTTCTATGTCAAATTGTCCATCTGAACTTTCATGTTGTACATGTTTTCCTTCAGAATTTTGTGTATATTAGTTTCCTAAAACTCCCATTACATAGTTTCTCTTGGGAGTTATCTCTTGGAAGTGCGAGTATATCCTCTTGCCATCCCACTGAATCTATAATTCCTTTTCCCTAAAAATGAATATTCCCCAGTATGTGGCATTCTACAGTCATGCCATCTAGTGAGTAGTGACTCATGCGATATGCGAGTATTTAATATGACTATTTTAGATTGTGATATTTTATAACTGAAAGATATACACTGCCATTAAAGACTTGGTATAAAAATAAAATACCTTTTTGAAGCATTTACATGGTAAGTGGGAACTTGGTCTGCAGACACAAACTATGAAGCCTAGGTGGGTAGATTACGGAACCTCCTTTACTTAGTGGGTATTTGGTAGCTATGGTTCTGCTCCTGGTAATGTATGGAGGCAGAAGGAAAGGGGTCTGAACCCTTTGGTGTCATGTTTTTAGTGTTGGTGGCTTCTAATCTGCAGGTTTGATCCTCATGGGACATGGGGGAAGTCGAAAATCAAAATCAAAAATGCCTACTAATTTTATATTGATTTCACATTGAAATACTGGCTTAGCTTTATATATATTAAAATATTAACCAGTTTCTTTTTACTTAAAAAATGACCATTGGAAAATTTAAATTGCACAGATCTAAATAAATCATGGATCTATTTGTTTATGGGCTGGAATATTCAATATAGATGAATTGTCAATTCTCCCCAAACCAATATATTGATTTGATGCAAATGATATTAAAACAGTAGCAAGCCTTATTGTAGCTATATACATTCATTCTAAAATTTATATGGGAACGCGAAGAGATTTTAATAGTTGAAACAATTTTGCCAAAGAATCAAGTGGGATGACACATTCTACCTGATTTTAGGTTGTACTATATAAGACTACATGGCATTGGAGGAGGGACAGACACGTAGCTCAATGGCACAAAGTAGAGAAACCAGAAATAGTCACCCAAGTGTGGCAAACTAATTTTGAAGAAGCTGAAAATCAATTCTGTTGATCTGTTGGAGGTGGAAAATGTTGAACCTGATTCCTTTTGCTACGTGGAGGAAAATCACTTTGCTGCACTGTGGTTCTTCCAGTCTTGGAGTTCCTAATCTTTTTCTTTCCATCTTTCTGACTTTGCTGTTTCTTGCATTATGGAATGTTTATATAGTTGTACATAGTGGGGAAGATCAGAGTGATATAAGTCTATGCCATCTTGTCTGGACCAGAAGTTTTCTTGCACTATTTTTCAACTTCCTGTGAATCTGTGAATCTACTGTTTTTCAAAGTAAAAAAAATGTATGCATCAGACTGTCCATATTTCCATTGGACAGTATATAACACACAGCTGAGCCCTTTAAAGACATTCTGGCGATCACCACCTTACCCTCCTTCAGTTATAGCATCTCCTGCCAATGGGATAACATGATATAGACCTAGAAATATTATGGCAGCAAAGTTTCTATGCTGGTTCCAGTCTATTCAACACTAGTTGACTTACACACTTGGTGCCAGGAGAAGAGACTGGAGGTGCCTGCTGGGTTGTGGCAAGGGACTACCTGCAGAGCTCAGATACCGTCTTTACAAGTAAACAGACCATGACTTTATTCCAGGACAGCCCTGCCACCGGTGGTGGAAAGCTAGATAAAATTCCCTCCGTGGGTTTATATCCCAGTGGCAATCTAGCTTTTTCCCACTTCAGTACAGGGAAAGTTACTTTTTTAGCAAACTAAAGATGCATATTCCAGGGAAATGGGTGGAAACACATAGACATAGTAAACTTTCTGCTTTTATTCTTGCTAATATAGCTCATTTTCTACAAAATTATGAATTTATTATAATTAAGATATTTAAAATATAATTGTGATAATTTAAAAAATCCTATCATGCATATGGATGGAAAAAGAGCCAGTAAACAAAATCAAACAAAAATAAATGAAATGAAAACAATCTCCTCAACTTCCTCCTCTTTCCCAGGGTAACAGGGTGAAGCTACTGGAGCAGCCACTGAGCTGAGAGACTCCAGAGAGAAAGGTAATTTTTTTTAAATAAATTTTATTTTTATATTCCCCCATACAATTGCAGCCCCCCCATTCTGACCCCAATCCCTCCCCTCCCGGCTCCCACCCCCCAAAAAGTGTCTCTGGTTCATAGTTTTTTGTTGATTTTGATTTTCACTTTCTTATAGTTATTCATTTTCCTGGTCCCTTATTTAAGTTTTCTAGATTCCTGCTATGAGTGAGACCATCTGGTATTTTTCTTTTTCTTTCTGGCTTATTTCGCTGAGCATGATCCCTAGAGAAAGGTAATTTTTGCACTGAGTGCACATCTGATTCCAAGCAGAGTCTGCTCCCGACAGGCAAGCCTAGACTGAGCAGAAGCCCCAGGGCCTCCTCTGTTTCACAGTGTCTCAGGGAATGGGGGGGCTTCAGGCCACAGAGGCTGAGGCCCAAGTGCAGCTGCACTGAATTTGTCTGAGTTGTTGGACCTCATTTAGTTTTAAAAATAGGTGCTCTCCTTGTCTGTTGTGTTCAGCTGCAAGTACTCCAGACTGCCTTTTTTGTAGCTGGCTACCCGGGTTGGTTTTCGGTTTCTTATTCCTGCTGCTTGTCTTTTCTGTAAAGAAGTGGCAAGCATGTCTGAAAATTCAGCTTGCAAGCGCTGCTGATTCTCCCTGCAAAGAGAGTGGGGAGGGAAAATGGAACAGCCTCAATCACTCATGCCGAACTGTCCTTAGCTCCAAAATAATCAGTTAAGGTGCTTAAGTACTGAGCTAACACAGGAAGTGCACACAGCACAAGCTGCCCCTTGCCTTCGCTGAGTGTCAGGAACTGTCACCCTGCTCTGGGCAGCTGGAGAAGCAGCAGAATCTATTTCAAGTGGGACAGTTTATTTCGATTTCAAAATGAAACAACAGACTGTTAGACTTCAGAGGAGTGAGGAGATTTTTCAGAAGCAGCCATGGTGGGTAGGGGATAGGGCCTCCCACACAAGACCCTACAAACTGGCTGCTCCGACAAGTGGTTCAGAGTATGGGTTTTGCTTGGGGCGGGGGGAGGCTCAGGTTGGAGGACCTGACATAGACCCAGGGCATGTCTAGTAGGGGGCAGGTCTCCATGCCCCAGGAAAATCTGGGTGGTTTTGGCATCTCTGCAGTCTTGCCTTCTGAGTCAAGCATCAAGGAATCTGAGAGAGGGGGTCTTTCTACCATGGGAACAGCCACATTCCTGGGTGCAGGAACTAATATACCACTAGATGGCCATTTGAGCCACTTTTGGGGATCTGAAACTTTGTCTTCCTTATTGCAGAGGGAATATTAACTCCCTGTGAAGACTGGAACTCCAGTCCTGCGACTTTGCGGGGTTTGGGGAGCTCATGCTTTCATGAGGTGGATCAGCAGAGTGGGTAGGCGGGGATTTCTAGGAACCTCCAGCAGTCTCTTGTCTTATCAGAACCAGACACGCAGAAGCTCCAAACTGCCCTATTCACCTAAGCAAGCCTGATACTAGCAGCCAGAGATGGGGTGTTTTCAAACCCCCACATGTGGAGTCTCCCACCTGGTCTTCAATACTATCACCCACTGGCTGACAAATAAGTGGGTGTGCAGCACATGCTACCAACCCAGGACCCCACACCCCGCCCCCCTACCCGCTACAGGCAGTGGCTTACATGGTGGGAGGGGTCGGCAGGTTGTACTCCTGGTCCTTCATCCCGGTCAGCCAGTAGGTGGTCTCAGTTCCTCTTCCCTAGTGGGACAAGAAAGGTGAGACCATGGAGGCCACCATTCCAACAAATCTGCTTCCACTAGACATTTCACCCCCAAGTTCCACCTCAGCGCCTACATTTCAGCACACATTCCTGATAGGCTCTGCAGGATCTCCAGGCAGCTCTTTATTTCCCAAACCTTTAAATCACAGACATGGTTTTTTTAGTTTTCTCCTCCCCTAAGATAATTAAAAACATCACTAGAGCAACACCCTAAGAACTCCAAGTTAAGAGGGAAAAATCCAACCACAATTCTGTGATGCCCACAAATCTGACCAGCTTTCATTGTCCACAATTTCTTCCATGCCTTTTGTTAGATTTGGCCATAAAGCTTTTTCTGTGGTTTCCCCACCTTAAGCATGTAGTTATAAACACATGTGCATCATAACAAACACTCATTAAATACATTTGCTGGGCCCATCTGGAGGCCGTAAAATGAAGGGAAACTTACCTGGAAATCTAGTAGTTTATTTTTCTTTTGATTTTCTTTTTTTTTTAATTTTATTTTATATATTTTTATATCATTTTTCATTTTTGCACAATGTATGCATTTTCATCTTGGTTATATTCCCCATACAATTCCCACCCCCCTTATTTTGACCCTAATCCCTCCCCCCCGCCCCCAGTACTGTATCTCTGGTTTATAGTTGCTTGTTGATTTTGATTTTTACTTTATTGTAATTAGTCTTTTTCCTGGTCCCTTATTTAGGTTTTCTAAATTCCTGCTATGAGTGAGACCATCTGGTATTTTTCTTTTTCTTGCTGGCTTATTTCACTGAGCATGATCCCTTCCAGCTCCATCCATGTTGCTGCAAATTGCATGAGTTTATCTTTTTGATTGCTGAGTAATATTCCATTGTGTATGAAATCTAGTAGTTTTTACTAAAGTATTTGAAAAGCAGGCTGGATAGTTCTACATTTAAAATCACTCATTTTTAAAACTGGTGGTTTGCTCTGTTGAGACCCCTATTTTTTGGGGGGGCATTTCTCTGTGCAGAAAATTATGGAGGATTCAAAAAGTATGTATGATGTTAGGACACCAGGAGGCTTCCCACACTGCAAGCGCAGTGTTGAGATCAGCTGCACTATGGCTGCTGGGGACAGGTAACCTTACAGTCAATAATAGTTGGCTTCAGATCAATTATGAAAAGACTGTAATGACCTTTAAAAGGTAGCCTGGAAGTGAAGAGGAGACTGATGGCTCTGGAGGGCCACCCAATAGAGGTGATATTATAATCTGCAGTAGTGATTCTCAAACATTTAGTATGCATCTCTATCACTCAGATTGTTAAAAATAAAGATTCCTTGCTCATGAACAAATGGCTGAATAAGAAAATGTGTAATAAATACATAATTGAATACTACTCATCTATAAAAAAGGATGAAATCCCTTTTTGCAACAGCATGGGTGGATTTGAGGGTATTATTCTTGAAGTCAGTCTGATACAGAATGATAAACATATGACTTTACTCTTTGTGGTACATAAACAAAAAATTGATGAACTAACTAAATAGAAAGCAAGGGTAGACTGTAAGATCAATTAGTAGTTACCAGAAGGGACAGGGAAGTGGGTCAATTCAAGTATAAGGGGACACTGTATGGTAAAGGATAGAACTGAACTTTTAGTGTAAATTTAACATCATCATATAGATGCTGATTTATAATGATGTACATCTGAAACTTGTATGTTATAATGTACATATAATGTAAATTATGTTTATATTCCTGATCTACACCAGAGTCTGACTTAGCAGGCCCAGTGGAGAGTCCCAGCATCTAGAGCTGCAGTTTCACAGCAGATGACTCTGAGTGAGAAGTCTGTGGCCACACGTGGCAGTTCACTGGCCTAGACTGTAGGATAGAAGGCAACCCACAAGAGAGGTGGCCAGAAGAGCTGCAGCATCTGCAGCAGAAACAGGAAAGTGAGGAGATGGAGCTTTCATTTCAGTTACATAGTCCTGGATCAGACTGTAGCGTTGAATTGAGAGGAGTTGGGGACAAAACTTAGATATGTGTGGAAGAAAAGAGTGGTAGCATTTTATCCCATATTGGTCATAGTTCAAAAATCGAAAGGGCTCTTTGGTGTAAAGCAAAGTTCTGGGTTCCCATTCCTTGGTGGTGGCTCATCCCACAGGAACCAGGGGGTGCTCCTGACATCACTGTCACGGATTTAGCCTCAAGGGAAGGGGCCCAGGTGTGCAGGTTGGTGCCATCTTTGGGGATCCCTTACCTTTAAGTAAGTTTCTCCTCTCACTTCATACAGGAACTGGCACTCAGTTCTCCTCAGGATGGCAATAGTGGAGCCGCTCACATGAATTCTCAAGGCTGGAAATGAAAAACAGATTGAGTGAAAATCACGTCCATTTTTCACATCTTTTATTGGCCACATTTGTGCTGGAGGAGGCTGTGGCCAGGACGTGACCACTGTGTGGCCCACAAGCTGGACCCAGGTAATCAGAAGCCCCTCAGCACCTCCCCTCGCCATGGAAGGTAGATTCTGCCCATAGTTCCCCCATTTTTAAGAACACAGACTTGAGAGAGTTGTGTGTTGCTGAGACCATGTGATGATGCTGTGACTAACCCCAGTGAAGGCCGCTGTATCAACTTTCAGGATCCTGGCAGGCAAGTGTGGAGAACTACATGTGCTCACCCAAGTCAAGCCTCGTAAGTCAGTTCCCTCCCTGTCCAACTGCCACCTACAATCTGGACTGATCTCCTCCCTTGGCTGCTCTTTGCCCTCTTGTGTAGGAGTCCGGCTCAGGGTTTCACCCCGGGAATTCCTGAGGCTGCAAGCTGAAGATCTGCTTCCCCCTGATTTGGACTTTTATTTCGGGTGCTCTCAACAGCTTTGTTCTTTTAGTGAAAGGACACTTCAGATTCAGTTCTTACCCGAGAAGAGAGCGTCTAGCAATGTTTTTCAGGGTCCTGAGTGAAGGGGCTCCCCAGATTCTGCTCCATTGATTCCCATTCCACCTCAGCCTGGCTTTGGGTTAAGTAATGGTATTGAGCTTGAGAGCTGGAATTTGGTTTTCGGTCCCTGCATCAAAATTCCAATAAGTAGCTTAAGTCTTGGCAGAAAGGTAGAGATGCAGAGTTCATAGGGTCTTGGTTTTCTCAAATCTTACTTTTTGGGATGGTGCTTGCCTTCTGCCAAAATGGTGTTGAGGGCACTCTCATTTGTAAGCCCTCTGCGGTGGACCCCCTTCCCACCAGGGGTGCCATAGATAATAACAGGAACCCCATATTGTATGCCTACATGTCAGAGGCCTGCTAAATGCTTGACATGCATCACCCAAATCTTTCTAGAGACCCTTCGAACAGGGTTGATGATCACCTTCAACTAGTTTCTCCAACTTTCTGAGGCCAAGAGAGATACGGCAGCTCCCCCACAACTTATATATTAGGTTGTGGGAAAAGGCATGACGCATTTTTGCTTGAAAAACATAGAAAAAATACTTCATGACTTTTCCGACAACCCAATAGATAGTGATTAGCACAGCTATGCTTTTAAGCCAAGTGTGTCTGCCCCAACCTCATACCATGATTTTCTAATAGATTAGTATCAGGTTGGAAGCACATTGCCAAAATAACATTTGGCCACTGGTGCTTATGTAGGTCCTGCCCACATCTACCAAAGCTTGCTTTCTCTCTTGCATATATGTCTGTTACTACCACCACCATCTTTAATTATTGAGCATCTACTACGTGCAGCACAGAGGCTTTTCCTTGCCAGGCAAGTGCAATATAGGCTTTTGCATGGGGTAAATACTTCTGTTGTTCTTTACTAAAACTAATTCCCAGGAAAATCAAATAAAGAGGAGTAGGAAAGTGTGCCAGGGGGTTAAACCTGGGGATCCCCTTCACTCAGGATTCTGAAAAGTGCCAAATGTAGCCCACTGCATTTTAACTTACATGGCTCTTTGCTAAATTTCATGACTCTTCAAGGTGGCGCATACCAGAATGCTTTGCAGCTGAACCAAAATGAATAGAAACATTCTAACACTGAGCAAAAAGGGAAGAATCAAATGATTATCTATCAACAGCCATAAACAAAGCAAAGGTCGTGGGATTGGTTCAACCCAGGCTCACAGTCAGTCAGTGTGGAGGGTCAAGTCTGTCTTCATCTCACTGCACTGAGTGTCGCCTCGTTGTGCATTTCACCCTACAGCTCTCTTCTGCTGGACAGAATATTTATCCTCTAAGAAAAACAATCTCCCTTCTTACGGAGGCCAGTGGATTCCATCCTCGAGGCTGTGTTGACTGTGTCTCCAAACAGGCAGTAACGCGGCATCTTGATCCCCACGACTCCGGCGGCACAGGGACCTGACGTGGACAGAAAGCAGGCATATGGGCAGCAGAAATCGCAGAGCAGGGTGAAGGGGGGTAATCCAGGGTCCAGTGGCTGAACACTTTGATTTCAAGAAGTCACTGAGGGTGTGTAATGGAAGCTGTGACTTTTGCTGTAAACGTATGCATGCCATGAAGGAAGCAGCATTATGTAACACCCACTTTAAGAAAATAGTTGGCTCTAGCACAAAAAATATATTTGCACTAAAGAAGGCAGAGACCCGGGCTGCAAAGATGGAAGTCCTTCTTATATATTCAGTGGAAGGCTCCCAGGAAGGCTGAAGACTAGCCCACTGCTGCCCTGGGGTTGCTGAGCTGGGAACTGACAGGGTCGGGGGTGGGGGTGGGGCACACACATGCGTAATGGCCCACGTTTAATTTTCGTTTCAGTCAGAGTAGCATTTCTGGAAGTGGTGGCACAGTGATGCAAGACCCAGGAGACGAAGCCCTAGCATAGTTTCCTTCCAGCATGCCCCGGCACCTGGAGGACAGGGATGAGGAGAATCCGACCTCGGCCACGTAGCCATAATGGCTGATGGCACACAAGAAGTTAAGGATCCCAGAAGTTAAAGATTAACCCCAGCAGTGCAAATTCAGGTTCTGGACAGTGGTAACTATTGATTTTCAAGTTGGCTTAACTGGATTTTGATCCACAAAACTTTCTTTTTAGATTTGTCCTACAATAGTCTGTATTTTTGAACAGGGGAAAAATGCGGGGAAAAATGAAAATAATGGAATGGCCACTACAGTTCCCATGTCCAAAACATCATTATGTGACAGTTGCTCCATGTCCAAATCTTTTAGGTTTGGTGCAAAATAATCAAACATTAATAATAATTAAAAGTGGAAGGAGCAGAGGGACAACTTCTCAACCTGATCTCTGATGGGTGCTCAGTCTTGTAAGTCTAATTACAAGTGACTTCTCACTAATGGAGAGAGAAAGCTGGTCAGGGCCTGGTGGAAGAAAATCCTTGCAGATACAATGTCTTCTTTTTCAGCTATTAAAGTGCAGCTCTTTAGCCTCTTGGGGCTAACCCCTTCCAGCCCAGTGTGGCAGCGCCCCCAGTGGGCCCTGCAGAGAGGGGGCGAGCCCCAGAGCTCCCTTCTCCCTGGCATGGCTCTGTCTGTCTCTCCAGGCCTGGAAATTTGCAGATGATCAGAAAAGACTGCATGCTATTGCTGGCTAGGGAGGGGACCAGAAATTTCCCTTATGTGTATATGGAAACATCGATGACATTAGCCTGGGACAGGCCACAGCTGTGTCCCTGGCAGTCAAATGTGGCAGCATTTTTAACTTCAGCTTACTGGCTCTTTGAGAATCTCACAGATTTATTACTGTCTTTACTCTCAGGTTCTGAGGACACATGGTGACCTTTGCAAAGGTAGGTATCTGCTCTTTGCCAAGAAACCTGGAATGACCTCTTGGATTTTTTCTGTGAGACTTGGAGGACAGAAAAAGGAGCAGTGGCAGGAAATGACAGATGTGATTAATGCAAGGAAAGGCTCTTCAATAATGGAGTGAGTTGGCTTTAGAAACAGTGAATTTTCAGGAAATAGGGAGTCCTGGGATCATTCTAAACGTGGCTGTATTATTACTTATCATGAAAGCTATAAAGACAATTTATATCCCTATAAAGATCTGCGTTCCTCTCCAACTATATTTTCTGTTGGAAATAACATCTGTAATTCATCTTTCCAAATCTCTATGTTCAACTTTCATGGTCTTTAAAGTGACCCATGTACCACTGAAGGGCTGAGAGACATAACACTTTTATTATAGGAATTTAACCAGTTACTTTTTTTCTCCTGTGGACTGTCTAATCAATCCACTTAGGATACTATTTTAATAGGAAAAAACCATGAAGGTGGGAGTGCCAGGGAGAGCGAATGGGGAGGGGATAAGCAAAGTAGTAAATAGAGTAGCTGCAGTAGGAAGCCTGGAGTTTCTAATTTAGAATATGGTTAGTCTTATTCCAGGAGCTAGTGCTGCCAAAGATGTGATTTCCTACACTTTCTAGGGACTGCGCCTAAGTTCATTAGGCTGTATAATGGGACCTCATATTTGACCGAGAGAGCCAACCCTCGTATGAAAACTGATCACATCGGAAGGCCCTTTACCCTTTGATTTAGTGGGTACCCTTTGATTTAGTGGGTACACAGAGGTACATGTGGTTACCTAAGTGATCAGTCCCTACCAGAGTGAACTCCAATGCGAATCCATATTGGGAGGCCAGGGAGATGTTCCAGCTCAAAGGTCCCCATGAAGCTGAGGATATCCAGGGCCATCTTGGCGATGTCTATTGCATGCCTGTTGCCATTTCTCTTGGGCAGACCACTAGCCACCATGTAGGCATCACCAATGGTTTCCACCTGTGGAAATATTTCTCATCAGTCAGTCTGCCCTCAAAAGGCAAAGCAATGGAACAGAAGCAGTGAATCACATGAAAGTTTCTGAGAACTCTGTATAAGCACTGTTTTGGGGACCAGTTCTAAACAGTTCTAGCTTCAAGGTTTTTATATTTCAGTTAAAGGGATGATACAGTAGCTATAAGGGATTTTAACCGTAAGAAAGTACTTCATATAAATCATCTGGATATGGTGACAATTCTATAAATGTTTAAAATCATCTTTAGTACTTAAATCATTTTTCATATATTATTGGACAAAAAATGATATAATACATATTCGTGTATGGTGCTTCTAAATACTTTTCGTATAATAAATGGATTTATCTTAGCAGTATTGTATAAATTTTTTTTACTCCTCTGAATTATGCCCTCACGTCTGAACTTAAAGAATGTTCTAGGGGCTCCCCTGGTGGTGCAAGTGGTTAAGTCTCAGCACTATGAAGCTCTCGGCAGCCACTGCAGCAAGAGTTTGAACCCCGGCCAAGGAGCAAATCCACATGGAACAGCAGACCTCTCCTTGTCTAGTCCCCTGCTCCCCTTAGCAGTGTATTTCAGTAGATCTGCCTGTTTTGTTCCCCACTCTGTCTCTGATGAATCCTCTACCACTGCCCCCACCCCCTGCACCTCTAGTCTACACCCCAGCTCTTGTATGCATAAATAAATCTTTTTTTAAAAAAAAGAATGTTCTAGTCTTTGCTCTTTAGTTTTCTTTGAATGATACCTGCTATTTCAACAACAAAAGGTAACAGAGAAACTGATTATTTTACTTATTAGAATTTTAGTGTCTTTTCTGCTTCATCTGTACTTAACTTAGACATTGCGCACATTTTGGATGATTTAGGAGCCATTTTCTCTTAATACAGTATCCTAAATCCAATCCTGCTGTACTTTGTTGCTTATACATACCACTTGTTAAAGTCACGTGGCTATTTTGACCCTTCTTGGTCCTCTTCATTCTTAGCTGAGATTCAATCACCAATTCATTAAATGTGAAATGAGAGGTGACAATTCCTGAATAATACTAGAACCCAATTCCAGCTCTGCTGACTGGGGCCCTACACTGGTCCCCACCTGCTAGGTGACGTGATTACCTTGTATACATCATGGTGATCGAGAATGTGGTCAAAGCTCTTGTAGATGTCATTGAGCATGTCCACCACTTCCATGGGGGTGCTGTATTTGCAGATGGTCGTGAAACCCACAATGTCACTGAAGTAGATGGTGACTTCCTCGTATAGCTCCGGCTCCACAGTGCCTTTCTCCTTCAGAGACTTTACCACCAGTCTGGATGAGGAAAAGGAAAAAAAAAATGCCTTCAGCTTCAGTAATTTTTTCCTCTTATATAAGTCTTTGCGACAGTAGTAGTTATCCACCAAGGATTCTAGAAATTGGAATTTCCCCAGTGTATTGGGTGACCAGGAAGCAAAGACAAGTTGTTTATGCCACACACATGGATATATTACAAATGTATATATTATATACCCATATAATTTGTGCACTTGAACTCAGATGAACATAAGCAGATTCAGTATTAAGCATAATGCACTAGAACACATAACTAATACCTACATAAGCCTAACACATGCACACCCTTGCCCTCTTTCACCTCTGTAGATGGCCAGCTTCTTCCAGATCTAGCGCTGCATCCATAAACCAGGAAGAAAACTCAATGTAAGAGCTTGAATCAACAGAGCAATCAGATCTGACTTTGTCATTAGAGTCACGAGTTTTACTTCCCTGGCATAGTTATCATGGCACTGTTTAATATGGAGGAATAATGCATTTGAAAATGAATTTTGATATATTCTGAACCAGAATGTAGGTGATATACTTTGAACCATATGTGGGTCCTTTAAAAGGCACAGTCAATCATCATGTAAACAAGTTAAAATTATGCTACAACTCCAGAGGTCTAAGAGAAGCCACTTAGAGTATCTCTGTTGAAGAGCTAAGGAGCAGATCAGAACCATGAGAAAGGGCTCCAACTTCCTTCATGAGCTAAGTTGCACTTTCATTGAGAAAATGGTGATTGGGATGATATGAGGTGGTGTGCTCCCTGTCTGCCCTTGGGGTCACTTTGTAAAGTACAAGGCTGTAGAAGCTCTAGAATCAGAACCTGGAAGCTGGGAGTTACAAGAGGGGGTCATGGAGAACAGATCATTTTTTAAAAAAGATTTATTTTTATACAAGAACTGGGGTACAGGCCAGAGGTGCGGGAGGGTGAGAGGATTCCACCAGAGACGGAGTGGGGAGCAGAATAGGCAGACAGACTGAAATATACTGCTGTGGGGAATAGTGGGTGAGACAGGAGAGGTCTGCCGTGCCATGTGGGTATCTCCCTGGCCCACCGGGAATCAAACCTGCACTGCAGAGACTGTAGACAGCTTCACAGTGCTTCACTCAACCCTGCTGCACCACCAGGGAGGCCCAAGGACAGATCATTTTACAGATCATATTTACTGATGAGAAAACTGACATTCAAAAAGAAAGTATGACCTTCAGATGGTCCCACAGCCACTGAGGGTGAGCCAGTCCCAGAGCTCAGATTTGTTTTGCACCACACTCCCCTGTGACCTAGGCCTGGCATATCAGGAGCAGGGAGGATATGGAGGTGTGCTGACCTCGGCTAAGAAGGAATGTCTGGCCACCCCTGGATAACAGGAGCCACAAGATTCTCAACACTCATTTAGAGACCTTAAAAAACATGGGGGCGGGGTTTCAATAGTACAGAAACAAAACTTGGGAAAATGTTCCTTTGGAGAAAATACTTGTACATCCAACAAAGGGCTAACTAATGTCCAAGATCTCATACAACTTAAGAAGCAAGTAACACAATCAAAAAATGGGCAAGAGAACTCAAGACACTAATCCAAAGAAAACATACAGATGGCCAACAGGAACATGAAAAAATACTCATCACTTATTAGGGAAACACAAATCAAAACCACAATGAGACACCACCTCACACGTGTGAGAATGGCCCATATCAAAAAGACTAGAAACGAGTGTTGGTGAAAATAAAGAGAAAAAGGAGCACTTTTACAGTGTCAGTGGGAATGCAGAATGGTCCAGTTCCAGTTCCTATGGAAAACACTATGGAGGCATCTCAAGATATTAAAGACAGTTTCACCATATGATCCAGCAACTGTACTTCTAGGTCTCCATCCAAAGAATTAAACCACCAATTTGAAAAGATATATACCCTCCTATGTTCACTGCAGCCTTATTTATAATAGCCAAGTTATGGAAACAACCTAAGTGCCCAGCAACACATGACCGGATCAAGAAAATGTGGCAGGTACACAATGGAATACTACTCGGCTATAGAGACATGAATTCTTGCCATCTGTGACAAGAAATCAGATGAAATTAGAGGGATTGTGCTGAGCAATATAAGGAAGAGAAAGACAAATACTGGACGATTTTACTCTTATGTAGAATATTTTTAAAAAAGGAAATTCTTGAAATCTGCAGAACTGAGCCTACCAAATGGGGAGGGGGGGGTAGGAATAACAGAGAGCAGGCCCAACACACCATGGTGGAGGGTTATGGAGGTTTTGGTGGTGGCTGTGGTGTGGTGACATGCATTTGGGAGATATAACCTATACCACTACATCATATACAGAACTGTATACCAATGTTATCTCAATTAAAACAGTTTAAAAAACAAGAAACACCCTCTTGGTATGGCCAGTCAGATTATAGGGCCACTTCTGGGATGATGGCTGTTGACATGACTACTATAAGGGTATAGATTATTTTGGAAGCTACACAATGTAATGGTAATGATGAAATTGGGTATCACACCTTTGTTGCTCATCATCTTACTGCTTATATCTGAAATGTCTTTTAAGCTTAGTGCACCATATGTTGCCCAGAGAGAGAGAAGCTAATATTGGGAAAGAAAGAAAGGCTGTGAATTCACAGTGAATTTTGATGGTAGGTCATTTCTAGCACAAGCAGTGCACAGAGATGTTTTATAAGGGCTTCTCACAAGAAGAAACTCCTATCTTAATCTGTTTGAGCCCCCCAGTGGTACTATTCAAATAAATGTTATAGTTGTATCTTGGTTCCTGTGTGCAGTCTAATTTAGTTTTTGCCCTCAGTGCTTCAACTCTTTTAGCTATTGTTCATGTACATGTCAATCTTCTTTTGCAAATATAAAGAATGTTTACATAAGTTATCGAAGTGAGTTGCACTGGAGTTCTGGTGTATTGCAGCTATTGAAGGTCTGCATTTTGTGATCTGAAGGCAGGACGGTAAAACATCTGCCACCTAGTGGTTGAAGTGGAACAAACACACTGATCCAAAGTTAAAAAATCCTGAGGCATGAGCCAGCTGTTGTAAATCATTTGAGTGCATTATTGGTTGAAACCACTGCTGATGACACCCTGGGAAGGCAGCCAAATAATCAGGATGTTTTTGTCAAAACTCAGCATGAAAGACCAGGCAATGAATTATGCATCATATAGCCAAGAGGTATGGATCACTACAGGAATCACCTCTGAAGTGCATATTCAGGGTCCCAGCCTATTCCAAGGATACCATACCCAGGCCCCGTGAGGACACATTCATTTTGCATTCTAGGGTGCATGACTGAACAGGACATATAGGTAAACCCTACCTCTTAAATTAAATTGTAGAGAAATTTTTTTGGTTTAGAAAACAGCTCAGACAGTCTCAAAATCATTCCTTTACTAATGGAGAATTATAAATGAATCATGGATTCAAAATAAAGTGATCATGTAAGTACTATATAAAAGGCATAGCTACAGTGAAATAACAACCAGGGGCATCCTAGCACAAGTACCTTATATGGCGCTCAGTATTTCAGAGGATTCTTTGGGCCAGCCTGTGAAGTAGAGGAGTGACAGGGCTAGAGCTGCTGGAGGTGACGGAGAGGAGGTGACCACTGGATCACCCACAGGCTGGACCCAGACAACCGAGCTCCTTAGCCCGCTCACTTGTCCTGAGCAAAGTAGGAAGATACATTCTGCCTGCTGTGCCCATACTTACTACTGTTCCAAGCACATGGCCTTGAGAGACCAATGGGCTATTGAGAACATCTGGACAGTGTACATGACTGAACCCAATTGAGGCCTCTGTATAAGCTTTTAAGAACCTGGTGCAGGAAATCGACTTAGCTTGCAGCTATCCCAGACCTGCCTCAATCACTGCTTCAGTTCTTAGAGCCGAA